GGGATTCACGAATGGCAACGGAGATTTTGAGGGGCAGTACTTTGCTTTCATGGCGGACGCGTCGGCCATCGTGGTGGGGTCGTTGCTGGGGACTTCGCCCGTGACGGCGTTCATAGAGTCGTCGACGGGAATAAGGGAGGGGGGCCGCACGGGGCTCACCGCTCTGGCCGCTGCCGCCTACTTTGGGGCGGCTCTTTTCCTGACGCCGCTGCTGGCGTCCATACCGGCGTGGGCGGTGGGGCCGCCGCTGGTGGCTGTGGGGGTGATGATGATGAGGGCTACTGGGGACGTGGAATGGGGGGATATGAGGGAGGCCATTCCCGCATTCCTCACCATGCTCTTGATGCCCTTGACATATTCCATCGCCTATGGCTTGATTGCTGGCATCGGAAGCTACGTGGTTCTCAATGCTTGGGATTGGGCCCAGGGCTTGCTCAAACTCATTGCAAAGGATAAGCCCACTAAAGAGGACGAGGCATAGATACTTCATCTTCGTATATCCTACTTTCTTTCTGTCTTTTAAAACAGAATTATAATATCTTTACTTCCCCCACTCCACCCCATTTATTGCTATCATTTCATTGTGTTGCAATCGTGTTTTTGGGTAATATATATATATATATATATATATATACATGGTCGCGTTCCGGTGAGAATAGTGCTCAACGAAAGAAATGAGAATGCATCTTGACCATAAAATTTAATTAATCTGACGCACCAAATCAGGCCCATACGCGCATAACTACAGGGCTAAATTGGTAATTGATATTAGACAATTAACACTTCTTAATCACGCTCTCACCCAAAATTCACCTCTACATCACGCAGCTCCCACCCAAAATTCACATCATCGTCTCCCACACACCCACACTATTCACACACACAGTACACACACTAACACGCACCCACACAAATATAACGACCCCCGTCGGTTCCGCGCCACCAGCCACCGCCGGCCGCGCAACTTTCAGCCTGCCATCGCCTTCATCAAAGTTGTCACGGCACACACAGTAGAACACACACCGCCGGTTCTCGCCATCAGCTGTCGAACCCGCCGTTGCACCGCCGTCGGACCCGCCGCACTGCCATCTTCCACCTTGAATTGCACGGACTCTACTTCTACATGTGAATTTATTGCCCGTCCGATGTCAATTTTTGAGAAATTCGGCTGGAAAGTACGTCAACGTTATAGATCTGAACCGGCACACCTCGCCGGAGCCCTGGTCAACCATATTAGCCTGCGCACCTCTCTCTCCCTCTTCTACGTCGATAGCAACAGGTTCTCGGCGCCGCCCGCCTCCTCTCCTCCCTGACGGACGGGTTCATTCCGAATGACGGGGTGCGTTCCGATGGAATCTAGAGGTCGGTCGGACTGAGGAGGTGCGTGCTGGAATATGCGGGGCGTGGGCGCGGCAGGTGACCAAGAACGAAGATGACAGCCCAAGGATAAAATTTAATTTCCGAATGGGAATTATGAATGTTCAGATCTAGGGCTTTTTTGGTGTATTTGACAAGTCCACGGGACTTGTATGTAAATAAAAAAATTTCACCTATATTGCAAATAAGTGCATGGGTTAAATTTGTAAATTGATAAAAGTTTATATTTGCACAATAATGTTTAATCCAATACACACTATCATGCTTCGATTTGCACAAAATAATCACCATTACGTGGAATGCACAATAACGTTATTCAAGATGTACGCTATTGAATGTTAATGTTAATGTAAATAAACATTATAAAGATTTTCTAAAATTTAAATGCACATAAAAATTACTTGTTTTACTTAAAGTTGATGGACAAATTGTACAAAATATCCGATCCATAGGTAATCGAATTTTTCTTTTAAAATTGTGGGTTTTCGGTTTGATTTCAATTTTGTTTTTATAATAATTCAAATAACCGAACCGACTGAAATATATAAAAAATATTGTATTTTGATAGAAAACATTATATTAATACATGATAATTACTAATTATATTCTGATAATATAAATAGTTGGATAAATTCATAAATAAAATTACTTGCATGAAATACATGTGCTTTTGATAAATGCACGATAATGATACTTAAAGCGCACATTATTTCGTACAGTTATACACAATAAAAAAATAGTGTTACACAATGCCCAATCGTGTTAGACGAAATGCAAATTAATTCATAACAGAATGAACATTAGCACAACTGTATATTATGTGCAATGACTCACGTGAAAATTTTAAAATTAAACTATTGCTCTATTGTGCAGTTTTACAAGTGTTGATGTGCATTTAATTTATCTCTATTGTGCATTTTGTAGCGCATATAGGGGTCCGCAGGATTGAAAAAAATGTTTGGAACATATTGAAATAAAATTTTCCGTTAGGTTTTTATAAGTCGATTCGTTTATCAACTTTTAATTTTAAAATCTTAGTTATTTCCGTTCAATTTCGATTTTATTCTTAAAATAACCATTCTAATCGAATTATATGAATATTATATTTTTTTACATATTTTTATTATATATGCGTATTTTTTCTTCCAGACAAAAAGAATAAAAAAATAGATGTATACTAAATGTTAAAAAACTCAATATATTTTTATAATATAAATAATAATACATTCTAGTTATTTTGGCTAAGCCAATTAGCCGAGTGAATAAAACGATTATTGTTTGTATGATTTTAGATTGGTTTGGGGACAAATGTTTGGACAAATCTATTTTCCAAAAATTCGCTTTCTTGTTTCGGTTTTGACATTTTGATAGGTCGGTTTGACTAAACCAACCGATAAACAATATTGCGAATTTTGTACTGCATTGACATTTTTGTAATTTTTTAAATTTTAAATGTGCATATACACATATAATATTGTGCACTTTATTTATCATTATTGTGCCTTTAATATTTATTGTAAATTACAGATTTAACACACTAATCGTAAACATCCAAATAAGTCCCTTTTAAAAATTTTAATTTCAAAAAACAGGCCATTTCCACACCCAAATTCATAAGATCTGTTCAATTGATGCCACATGAACGCCGATCACGCCAACTTACAGACCCGCCGCCCGTTGGCCATCTAAAGTCAAATTCTGGTCACCATTGTAGGTTGCGAGATAGTTAACCTTCCGATGGTATTCGAGATCTTGCCACGAAGTCAATTGCCAGATCTGCGGCCGGTGCTCGAGATTATTTAAAATGTCAATATTAGATGGGATTCCGAATTCAGGCGAGTTGTTGGGGTCGTCCCTCGAGACAACCATCGACAGCGGCAGAGATGCAGAGGAAGACGACGGATGCCGGTGATTGTCGAGTTCTGTGTTAAATCTCTGGCTAGTATGTGGTGGCGGTGGCTGTGTTGTTACGGGATGGCGACGACGGCGGGTTATGGCAGCAGGGTCAACGCGACCGCCTGAGTTTGTGGCGGCGACTGGTCGTGCCGGAGGCGTAGCAGAATGTTGATGGTGGCTTGGCTAGTGAAGGCGGCGGTCTCTGGTAGTTGCGTTAATGTCACCGACTATGCTTGTTCCGGCGACAGGTCGTACCGGCGACGGAGCAGGTGGCTGTTGGTGGCTCTGCTCGTAACTTCTGTGTGTGTGTGTTCCGACCTCCGCGCGTGTGTGTGAGAGAGAGAAGGTAGGATAGGTGAGTTGAGTTGATTAATGACTATTGTATCCTTAGTTAGTGGTAGTGTGTATATATTTGACCATCATATATTTATGTATTTACTGTACTGCCATTAATGATTGACCATTGTTTATTAAAGTTTGACTTCATCATGATCATTAATATGATGTAACCAATGGTCCAGATTCATTCTCATTTCTTTCATTGTGCTCCTTTCACATTTGAGCGCACTTATATATATATATATTGGGTTCAAGTGAGAAAGGTTATTAGTGAAAGAAATAAGAATGCATCGTGGTCATTGGATCGAGTGATCTAACGGTAACAATCAATCCAATATTTATTTAGTCATTAAGGGTATATTAGACATTTTGATTATAAAATTAAGTAACCATGCCGACTAATCCTCACCAGACCAATAATTTAATGCCATGTGGCAACTACACATCACACATCTCACCCACCACTCATCCTCTCTCACACACTGACACACACACATCATTAATTCAAAAAAAATGAATAAAAAAATAAAATATATTATTAGTCAACACACACAAAAACACACACACACATACGCGACACACACAGAACACACACACATCCGGCAGGACATACACACCCACACACCGCCGCCGGCAGCCACACGCACGCAGCACGACCGCCGTCACAGCCGCCGTCATCACGCCTCCCCCGCGCCTTACCGCCGTCATACATCACTTGAAAACATAATTGGATTCCTTCACTGTCGTCGCGCCTCATCGCAACTGTCTCCAGCGACCTTCCACTGGCGGCCAACATTCGCTTCGACTCAGCAGACAGCCCTCTGTCACCGACCCGTACTCATCGCCGGCGACCTCCGCCGTCCGTTTGGAGGAGACATGGCGGTTGTACCTCGTCAGATTGTCCGCCTCCGCCAGAAGCTCGCGCCTTCGCCGTCGGGAGTGATGGTGGTGGTACAGGAGGAGGCTGAAGATGTGATTTCATGAATGTTATTGAGGGGCTGATGATGTGGTTTTGAAGAATGTAGAATTGGGGGTTTTATTTTTGAGAATTTGATTATGTCTCGTGACTTACTTGTAATTTTAGTAATTTTAATTATTTTTCAATTGACCCATGGGTAAAATATATAATTATTAAAAGTTAAATAAATTAATTTTTAAATATCTTTTTTATGCATATATAATAAATAATACAATTATTAATAAATAAAAATAATATAAATATTTAGTTAATTCGATTTTAGGTTAATTCGATTTAGTTAATTCGATTTAGGTTAATAAATAAAAATAATATAAAATATTTAGTTAATATAAAAATAAATTATACAATAAAAGTAGTAAACCAAAAATATATTTTATTTATTTAGGTTAATTCGATTTACAATTATATCTATTTTGTTTTGAATATACATAATTTATCTAAGAACGTATAAATTAGTAAACTTTAAAAAACATAATGTTGCACTTTATAAAACGACCCATTGCACTTTATCAACATACCCCACATAATTAATGTTTTGGTGTCGACTTTACAATATAAAAAAAAAACAAAATAACAACATAATCAAATTGAATAAAAATATTATAAATATATATTTATGTTTAAATATATTGTTATATTCTTTTTTTTTTTTTGCCAGAACGATAGGGGAATTATATATAAGCAAAAACGGGAACAAAGTTCCAATTACAATGGGGATAACACAACTGACACAAAATAAAACTGAGAGGTACTGAAGAGTACCTAGAAGACCAAACTCTAGAAAGTAAAATAAAAGGAATCAAGCTCCTACCCACTGCTGAACAAGCCTAGCTAGGAAACTAGAATCCAAACAACCGAAAGAAAATAAAAGAAACACAACACAAACAACT